TGTACGTTTTAAGGAATTACAGGTAAATTGAGGGTATTAGTGACATGATTCAGGAGCGGAACGTTTTTTTTATAAACTCTGACACAAGTTAAGTAGCTTAAATGATTGGCTGTGAGTGCACTATTTTACTGTAATGGACAATTTGACTGTCGGTGTCTTTATCATTAATAGCACTGTTACTGCTATTTACGTTATTGTCAATATCATTAGTATTAGTATCTTGCTATTAGTCTTCTCATTATCATTGTTTTTATTATTACAATTATTACCCTTATCATTATTGTTATTATCATTACTAATATTATTATTGTTGTTACTATTGTTGTTATTATTGTATTATTATTATTATTATTATTATTATTATCATTATTGATGTTATCATTGTTATCGTCATTAATACTGTAATTATCATTATTATTACTATTATTATTATTATCATATTTTCATTGTTGTTGTAATTATTATTGCTGTTATTATTATTATTATTATTATTATTATTATTATTATTATCATTATCATTATTATCATCATTACCATTATTGTTATCATCATCATTATCATTATTATTGTTATTATTATTATTATCATAATATTTATCATAATATTTATCATCATTGTTATCGTTATTATTATTATTGATATTATTACTATCATTATTATTGATATTATAACTATCATTATTATTATCATTATCATAAGTTATGATTATCATTATCATTATTATCCTTATTATCATTACTATCAGTATTACCATTACTATTACTTTTATCATCATCATCATCATTAATTATTATTAGCCATAACCGTCATTATTATCATTTGCCATTATTAGTGTCATTATCAGTAGCCGTTATCGTTGTCTTTAGTACCATTATTAGTGTCTTTAGTACCATTATTAGCGTCACTATCAATAGCAGTTATCGTTGTCCTTAGTACCATTATTTGTGTCTTTAGTACCATTAGTGGTGTCCTTCGTACCATTATTAGTGTCTTTAGTACCATTAGTAGTGTCCTTCGTACCATTATTAGTGTCTTTAGTACCATTATTAGTTCATTATCAATAGCAGTTATCGTTGTCCTTCGTACCATTATTAGTGTCTTTAGTACCATTAGTAGTGTCCTTCGTACCATTAGTAGTGTCCTTTGTACCATTAGTGTCTTTAGTACCATTAGTAGTGTCCTTAGTACCATTATTATTGCCGTCATTGTAGCTGCTACATTATCATTCATAAGTAATTTGCTAAAACGCTTTCTAGTCACACTCGGAGCTCCTGGTTCATCTGGCTTTAACCAGAACGAAATCATGAATTAGAAATACGACGGTAAGTTTTTGTTAAGTGATGACAGCGTAATATGTGATAGTTCTGTCTTATTCAACACTTTGAAGAATATATTTTGTGACTTTGTTTTTTTTTCCAGAAGAGAATATTATTTGTGAAAACATTAAACGATGAAGTAAACTTTAGAAATATGAAAAAATAGACATAAATCTATTACCGACCATGTCCACGTGTGTTACAATACATATATTTTTTCCTTGAGTAATGCATCATATAAAGGGGTAAAGATTAACATACGTGGCAACATCTTTTCAGCTTTTCGGAAAAATTTGAATCACAAGAATCAGGGGCAGATGTCGTATAGGCTTTTGGTTACGAGTTCTCAAACAAAGTAGCATGACCACGTTTTTTTTTTATGTGTTAACTAACTGCTTCGCCGACTATAACAATTTTACTGCATCGCTTTACTAGTCCGGCTGTTTACTGAATTTCAGTTATATCGGCACCTAACGCTCTTTATTTATTCTTGTCTTCTCTACGGCCTTAATATATATATATATATATATATATATATATATATATATATATATATATATATATATATATATACATGCATGTATATATATATATATATATATATATATATATATATATATATACACACACACATATATATACATGCACACACACACACACACACACACACACACACACACACACACACACACACACACACACACACACACACACACACACACACACACACACACACATATAAGAAATAGAATAGTCATTTAGTATATACTTCGGGAAAATACTCAGGAGTAACTTACTGAATACTTAATTTATTAATTCAGCGAGGTAGACACACACACACACACACGTATATATCAAACATATTTGTATAAAACAAGCAATCAATTGTACACTATTAGCACGCCATTCACTATGGCCGGTCTGTTTACCCTAGACATCGATTCCCGACGTATCGCAGGGAATTTGTCTCTGTGACTTTTATTGTTCCTTGAGGCCATTGTGTAAATTACTTAAACCTTTTATTTGCCGATAATCAGAAAGGTGTGCCCGAATAAATAGTTTTTTTGGTCTCATTTTGTTTAATAACGCTTAGCCATTACAGGTTGGTCATTTATCCCCCAGGTAGCTGTGTGTGTGTGTGCGCGTCGTGTAGATGTAAACGCACAAACGCCTTACCACGAGACATGAAGTTGCTAATTTGCATATTAATATTCCTCGTTAAGAGCTTGTTGGTTCGGACGCTGAAACCCTCAGGTAAGAGATCGTTTTATTCTGATGACTGTATTGGTTTGTGATAATTTGTAACAGGTGTTTTACAGCATTGTATCGTGTGGAATAACATAGAGTATTTCCTTTTATTAATGGTAAGAGAAGTTGAGGAATATTTTTTTTCTTTTCTCTAGATATAGAGATAACTTCACCATGCTGAAACCCAAATAAATAAGTTAAAATATCTACTGACAAATAAGTAAATAAGCAAAATTTTTAAACCATAAAAAAACATCACAAAATGATAAATGAACGAAATAATCCACAATATAAAAAAAATATCCCGAAACAGAATGAATAAAGATTATTATTTCTTTTTTAAATCCCTTATTTTACTCACCAGCGACTCAAGACTTGCTCTCGGCCAGTTCGCCTGCTGTGGGCGCCGCGCTGAGGGCCTCCCCCCGACCCCGGTCCTCCGTCCTTATCTTCACGGACGGCGCCAGCTCCTCCAGCGCCATCTCGGAGGTGCGTGCGGACGATATGCGGACGATTTACGGGCGATTTGTGGGCGATATGCGGACGAATTGCGGACGATTTACGGATGATTTGCGGACGATTTACGGACGATTTGCGGACGATTTACGGATGATTTACAAACGATTTACGGGCGATTTGTGGACGATTTACGGACGATTTGTGGGCGATTTGCGGACGATTTACGGACGATTTGTGGGCGATTTGCGGACGATTTACGGACCATTTCCGGACGATTTGTGGGCGATTTACGGACGATTTGTGGGCGATATGCAGACAATTTACGGACGAATTGTGGACGATTTACGGACGATTTGTGGACGATTTGCGGACGATTTACGGACGATTTACGGACGATTTGTGGACGATTTGCGGACGATTTACGGACGATTTGTGGGTGATTTGCGGACGATTTACGGAAGATTTGCGGACGATTTGTGGGCAATTTGCGGACGATTTATGGACAATCTGCGGACGATTTGCGGACGATTTATGGACAATCTGCGGACGATTTGTGGACGATTTGCGGACGATTTGCGAATGAGTTACGGACGATTTACAGACGATATGCGGACGATTTACGGACGACTTGCGGACGATTTGTGGACGATTTGCGGACGATTTGTGGACGATTTACGGACGATATGCGGACGATTTACGGACGATTTGTGGACGATTTACGGACGATTTACGGACGATTTGTGGACGATTTACGGACGATTTACAGACGATTTACGGACGGTTTGTGGACGATTTACGGACGATTTACGGAAGATATACGGACGATTTGCCGACGATACTCCCGGCTCTCTCTCATGGGATTGAATAAAAGGGGGACTAAATCTGCCTCACGATGTCTTTCGTAATTATTATAAAATGGAAATAGATAAATAGATAAAAGAGTAGATAAGCAATGGGACGCGCGGTCGATGTTCCCGGATCTCTGTCTGATGTGCCTTTGATGATGTGGTTTTTGGGTCGATAATACGATTTGTTTGAAAGGGAAATTTCGTTCCAAGATAATTTTTTTTTTCTAGAATATATATATTTTTTTAAAGATAATATCTTAATGTGCAAAACCGAATGAGGAATATCTAAATTAGGAAAATTAGGAAAAAAGTGCAATACCTTAAAAAAGTGTTATATTACGTATTTCTTAATTTTTTTACTCCTATGTCAAGAATTTTATTATATTATTTGTAGGTGGTTGGCCAAGTGGAAGCTCCCATGGGCGTGGGCGTGTTCGTAGTGGAAAGAGGAAAGGCGGGCGTCAACATGACCCAGGTGGTTGCAGACACACGTAAGGTATGTAAAAAAAAAAAAAAAAAAAAAAAAAAAAAAAAAAAAAAAAAAAAAAAAAAAAAAAAGTAAAAAGTAAAAGTAAAAAAGTGAAAACTAATTGATAAAATAGAATTTAAAAAGCGTGAATTATAAGATATTACAGGACAGAAATATTTGGATATTGAACGAAGGGAAGGAGTATTAGCGTTGATAAGAAATTCCATTATTGTTGGAGTGCTATGATAAAGATGATAATAATAAAAGCAGTGATGGCAATGATAGTAATAATAATGATGAAACCTAGAGGAAATAAATAGATAATGAAAATTATAACAACAACAACAACGGTGAAAACAATAATAGCAACAATATTAAAATAATCATCAGACCAATAGTAATAATAATAACAATAATAGTAATGTTGCTAACGATTACCATTCGTTATCAGACAAGAAAGAAAAATAATCATCACACCAATAGTAATAAAAATAACAATAACAATAATGTTGATAACGATTACCATTCGCTATCAGACAAGAAAGAAAAATCGATAAAAAAAACACCGAAGGCATCTTTCCCTCAGGTCGCGGTGGCCTCCTGGAGCGCCGCGGTGGTGGTGGCGAGCGAGGAGCGGAGGTTCCTGGCCGCCTTCGCCGA